CATTAAATCTGAAAAGCAGATTTAACTTTTTTAACTGGTATATCAGTGACTAAACCAACACTCATCATAATCTCAATTAAGAGTTAATTATGAATTCACAAAGTTAATTTTCAAAGTCTGAACGTTACTCTTAGGTAAACAAATTAAAAAGTAGCACTCTGCCTCCTGGGCATTCTGTATTTTACTTAAATGAGTTCAAGCATAAACTATTCGACAGTAGGTAAGATCTTTGCAAGTATATTCATTTTTAGCATTAAACATGCAAACATACTTTATAATATACACAAGAAGATATAACCACTGTCTGCAGTAAAGTATGAAGTATTAATCAATTACATTTTCTAAAGTCTATTATAGATTACAAATCACTACTGTACCCAATTCCAATCACAGAGAAATTTATGAAACTTAATCAACCTAAAACCAAACCAAACCCATTACCGTCAAGCCAATTCCGACTCACAGCAACCCTATGCGACAGAGTAGAACTGCCCCACAGGGTTTCCAAGGAGCAGCTGGTGGATTCAAACTGCTGACCTTTTGGTTAGCAGCCAAGTTAACCACTGTGCCAACAGGGCTCCCATAACAACCCTACAGGACAGAGTAATGGATAAATGCTTCAAATGTTTATGTCTGTTAAAAGTCTGTTCACCTAGCTACATAAAGTTCCTTGTGTAATTAAAACTGAAATACTCAAATAACGTCACTCAATCATGGGTACATTAAAAACAGGAAACCCAAAACATATTAATGACAGTGTATATAATACCTGCAAGAGGCACCAACATCCAGAAGTATCTGGAGCTAGTACGTTTCGTGGTTAAATTGTGTACTAGAAGAAAATATGATCCAAGGAGCAAAATCAAAAGGCTTATACTAGATTCAAGCAAGTCAAGCTGAAAATAATACAGCATAATTAATTCACTCAGGAGTTTAATAACAAAAATATAGAAATGCTGATACTCTGTGATAAATGGCAGTACCCTAGAAGAAGGTGTGCCTGGAGGGCACCAGTCGCTATATCAGAGAGGCGACAAATTAGGATGAAAAGGAAGAGTTACTGCTGGGAAACAATTCTCCACTGTATCGCTCATGTTTCTGAACATCTTGTGATAGATTTTGTTTTGGATTACTTTCTGAAGGATGTCTGTATAGTGAACAGCCTGGCAAGACAGAGGAAAGAATTGTTTTCTGACCAGTATAATAAAAATAGGCATTATTTTGGACAGTTTTGCTAGCAGCCTCCTTTAAAAGATCAGGGTTTCCTAATATCAGGATTTCTCAGCTGTGTCACAAATCCATTGTGTATACAGCATCTACCCAAGTCCCTATCACCTTCTTGGGATTTGACTGACATGGGGAACTGATGTAAATGTCAGCTGAATCGATGCTGTCAGCTGCGCCATAACAACAACACGCTTCATCTCTGACATGGGAGTCTCATGTCTTCTGCCAGCAACTATGAAACTGTGGCAGGGTAACTTGTTAACTTGCTGCTGTTGTTCTTAGGTGCCGTTGAGTCAGTTCCGACTCATACCGACCCTATGTACAACAAAACAAAACACTGCCTGGCCCTGTGCTATCCTCACAACTGTTGTTATGCTTGAGCCCATTGTTGCAGCCACTGTGTCAATCTATCTCGTTGAAGGTTTTCCTCTGTTTGGCTGACCTTCTACTTTACCAAGCATGATGTCCTTCTCCAGGGACTGGTCTCTCCTGATAACATGTCCAAAGTATGTGAGACCAAGTCTTGCCATCCTTGCTTCTAAGGAGCATTCTGGCTGTACTTCTTTCAAGGTAGACTTGTTCGTTCCTCTGGGCAGTCCATGGTCTATTCAATATTCTTTGCCAACACCATAATTCAAAGGCAACAATTCTTCTTTGGTCTTCCTTATTAATTGTCTAGCTTTCACATGCATGAAGCAATTGAAAACACCATGGCTTGGGTCAGGCAAAACTTAATCCTTAAAGTGACATCTTTATTTTTTAACACTTTAAAGATGTCTTTTGCAGCAGATTTACCCAATACAATGCTTCATTTGATTTCTTGACTGCTGCTTCCATGGGTGTTGATTGTGGATCCAAGTAAAATGAAATCCTTGACAACATCAATCTTTTCTCCGTCTATCATGATGTTGCTTATTGGTACAGTTGTGAGGATTTTTGTTTTCTTTATGTTGAGGTGTAATCCATACTGAAGGCTGTGGTCTTTCATCTTCATCAATAAGTGCTTCAAGTCCTCTTCACCTTCAACAAGCAAGGTTGTGTCATCTGCATAGTGCAGGTTGTTAATGAGTCTTTCTTCAATCCTGATGTCCTGTTCTTCCTCATACAGTCCAGCTTCTTGGATTATTTGCTCAGCATACAGATTGAATAAGTATGGTAAAAGGATACAACCCTGATGCACAGCTTTCCTGATTTTAAACCACACAGTATCCCCTTCTTCTGTTGGAAGGACTGCCTCTTGGTCTATGTACAGGTTCTGTGTGAGCATAATTAAGTGTTCTGGAATTCTCATTCTTCAAAATGTTATCCATAATTTGTTATGATCCACACAGTCGAATGCTTTTGCACTGTCAATAAAACATAGGTAAATAAATATCTTTCTGGTATTCTCTGCTTTCAGCCAAGATCCATTTGACATCAGCAATGATATCTTTGGTTCCATGTCCTCTTCTGAATCTGGCATGAATCTCTGGCAGTTTCCTGTCGGTGTACTGCTACAAGTGCTTTTGAATGATCTTCACTAAAATTTTACTTGTGTGTGATATTAATGATATTGCTCAATAATTTCTGCATTCTATTGGATCACCTTTCTTTGGAACGAGCACTAATATGGATCTCTTCCAGTCAGTCGGCCAGGTATCTGTCTTCCAAATGTCTTGGCATAGATGAGTGAATGCTTTCAGCACTGCATCTGTTTGCTGAAACAGCTCAGTTGGTATTCTGTCAATTCCTGGAGCCTTGTTTTTCACCAATGCCTTCAGTGCAGGTTGAACGTCTTCCTTCAGTACCACAGGTCTTTGATCATAGGCTACCTCCTGAAAGGTTAACTTGCTAAAAGGGTAAAAATCTGAGACCCCTCACAGTTTTTTATAGTTATATGCTGTATCCTTATGACCTGAGACAATTTCAAATCTAACAATCTGTTGCAGGCATCAGTGGACCCCTAGGGAAGCAGTAATTAATACTCAAAAAACTTCAGTGGCTAATGAAAACCTTAAATATTTCAGTACACAGATAAAGACCAAGACATTTCATTTAATCCCCAGGTAGCCTCATGGTTGGAATGCCCACTTAACTGACTCATTTAATCATTCATTATTAGGTATTTTCCTATGGACTGAGTCTCACTTTCACTCTCAGTAAGCCCAAGTCTAAGACAAAAAGAAAACATGTAAAAACCACTGCAACACAATTTCACACACTGTATTTAAAACAAAAAAGGGCATGTAAAGAATATGAAAAGCTATCACTTTCTACAGAGTTTTCCAGAGCAAAAAACGGTGACAGTGAATGTGTAACATTAATAATTTTATTTCCAAATACTATAAAATCTTCATCTTGCTACTCCAAGTGTGGTCTGAGGACGAAGAGCATTAACATCACCTGAGGCTTGTTAGAAATCCAAAATATCAGGCTCCAGCACAGGGGCACTTAATCAGAACTTGCATTTTCACAAGACTATCAGGTGATTCTCTTGCTTATAGAAGTCTAAGAAGTACTGTGTGATGGGGCATTCAGACAAATAAATGACTGGACACTACCTCCTCTCACAGCCAAAAAAAAAGAAAGAAAAGACACAGGTAAGTCTTAAACTTATAATGAAAATAATGCTTTTATTGATAAAGAGTATTAAAATCACAACTGTTACCTCAGTAAAAGTTAAGAAAAAAATTTACTCAAAAATCACAGAATGACTATTTAGCCATAGACAGTAGCATAATCCAGGAATATCTAAATAAAGTCAGGAAAAAAACAAAAAATAAGACATAATAATCAAAAGAAGGGGAAATATCATATTAAGATAATGTAAAGTTCTGGTACTATATCAAAATAAAAACATCACAACATTTTATTTTTAAACAGATTGAAGATAGCCGAGAACCCAGAACATAATTACATATTCTGTTTTATGGTTGTATTTTTTTCTTTTTAAAGAGTAAAAAGTACCCTAATTAGAAAACTCATGAAATACAAATATCAGAGATTTTAGACAGTTAGGAATTTAAAGATAAAAAAGCTTTCAAAGTTAATTATTTTAGCATGTTATACAGAGCACAGGATTTGCCTATTTGATTCTTCCATATTTTGTACAATTGTGAAATGACTGACAAATTTTATAAACCGTGAATAGGAACTTTCTAGCTATAAAAATGTTAAAATATATTGTCTTTCAGCTATCCTGCATAACTTCAGACTGTCCAAGTTCTAAAGGGGTAGCTACATTTTTACTTGGTTTTTACCCACATGAATTTTTTCATAAGAAAAAAATGTAACCTGCTCTACTTAAGGCTTTATTATCTAAACTTTCCAAAATTCTCTTTTCATGGTGAAGAGTGGGTTGTCTGTCATCTTATAATTCTATTTTCTATTTTCTATAGCTCAGAGATGTCATCATATTCAATCTTACTAAAAACTATTCAGAACATCTGCCAAAAAAACATTTTTAAGTTATCAATTGTAAAGGTAAGAGAAATTAAAGCTTTAAAATTCTGCAAATTCAAATGTTTTTTAAATGTTTAAATGTTTTTTTAAGCCTGAAATGATTTCACAAAATGGAAATAACCCGCTGCCGTCGAGTCAAATCCAACTCATGGTGACCCTGTAGGACAGAGTAGAACCACCCCATAGGGTTTTCAAGGAGTGGCTGGTGGATTCAAACTGCCCACCTTTTGGTTAGCAGCCGAGTTCTTAACCACTGTACCACCAGGGCTCCAAAATGGAAATAGTCAATAATGATAAATGATACATTATGTGAAACACACAAAATAATATACCTCTCTCTTATTTCTTCTTGCAACCTTGAGGAATTCCATAAGGATCTGTAGTTGGGCTGCATGTGATTCCTACAATAGAAAATTATAATTGTTCTTTTAAAAATATAACTGATTTCAAAGTTTGCTTTAAAATCCTAGTATAACGAGTATAAAGCAACTTCATGCATCCATTTAACTTTAATCTACTACTTCTATCTAGTCAGTTTTACCACTTGCCAACTGGCAGTTTTAAAAGAAAGTCATTTTCCCCAAAACTAACATACTAATTTTTAAAAACAGGTGTTCTCAACTGCGTAACTCGTCCACCATGCTGAAAAATCAATTTATGGGAAGTGGCAAGTCTGTTATGACTCCCAACTTCTCTTCCCCACTCAAACTAATAAAATATAAAGGCAAAAATCACAGTGGAACCAACGGAGTTCCTAGACACTAAAATCGCTTTCCCGGTAAGAACTTCATTTGCAGGGGTAGGCATAATAAACAGGGAGAAATCCATAGTTTCCAACAGTCAGATTTACTATTCCTGGCTATTACCTACTCATACAGATGTGAGAATTTATTCTAGTAGAAGACTTCAGTCAAAATCAAACATTTAAAAACAAAAAAGTAATAATATAATCCAGTTGAAGGGAGAAAAAAGAACAAGTAACCCAAACTGATAACTGAAACAAAACAGATAAATGATAATTATCAGCTTTGGCATTTTCTGCATATCAAGACATAAAAATACAAGTATATTATGTTTTACTGTTAAAATTCACATAAGAAGGCAAAGGTTTCCAAGTGAATCTGATAAATACACGTAAAAAGGATATTAAAAGCTAAAAAGGAGATCTTTATGAACATATATATACAAAGGGAAAATAAAAAATGGCCAGTGTAACAATACTAAATCAAACAAGCAAACAAGTAAGGGAGATTAATAAAACTTTTTATCTGTCTATGCAATGAAATTATCTGGGGCAATTGTTAAAAAAAAACACAGGGTCCAAATTTGACAAATTCTGATTCTATTGGTTTAGGAAAGGTTCTAATCTATGTGTAGCAAGTGCTCCATATGATATGGATAAGGCAGTTAAAAACTGAAAAAAAAAAAAATCACTACAAAAAAGCATGGCCACCCAACATCCCACTCAGAGTCCAACCCCTAGGGGGTGGGAGGGAATCTTTGCATTTTAAAGGATAAGAGGCATAACAGATCAATAAAATTTTTAAATCCAGGCAAAAAAAGTACAAATAAGTGAAGACAAGAACTTAAAATCACAGTAAAATATCCCAATTAACAAACACAACTGAATTAATGTTTCACATCTGAATGACTTTATAAAACACTACAGTATCATGAAGTTTAAAACGTGAAATTTTTTTTCTAGCATTACAAAGCAGCATTTATGGACCTTAGACATTTTCTTGAGAAGTAAATTAAACTGTCATGCAGAACAAAATCATAAGAGCTCTGTGTCCCAATAGTGATGACAAAGTATCCCAGATCATCTGTATCCTCCTTGGGATTTCTTTTCACTGATTATCTATCTACTGATTATTTGGCTAAAGAGCAAAGACCACATCTTTATATAAAAAAGGACATATTGCCAAGGATGCTAATAAAAAACAGTTAATTTGCAAAGGAAGTATACTATTTTCAAAATATAAAGTTTGAATACTTCATCTCAGTCTATCAATTAGAGCATGTAAACAGGTCAAGAATGCAAACAATCTGAACAAAGTTGGGGGGAAAAGTCACCCAAAGTCTCAAGGTCAAAGGGAAACTGGGACAACTAAGTATACTAGGAATTCAGCTTATGGCACATTCTTCTGCAGTTTAAGCTTCTGTAAAGGAATGACTTCAAGAAAGGAGACAAATGGCAAACCATAATTTTATATGTAAATATAAAAGAAAATTACATAAAAGAGATAGTGAATAAAAAGAGAATGCTTAAAAATGGGAAGAGTATAATTATATTAAAATAATGTGTAGCATATAATCTTTTAGAACAATCTCAGATTTTAGACATGAAAGTAATCTCAAGTCATTTAATGCACTACTAAAAATAGAAGCCCAAGAAGCTAACTTTCTAAACACTTCCTAAAATTGTCAACATTTTCAAAATGACAATGATCATTTACCCTACTTCTCTCATTTTCAGATGAGGAAACTGGGGCTAAGAAAAAGTCAGAGTGAAAAAGAGACAGTGCTCCTTGAGACAGCAAGTTTCTGTCACTTTTGTCCCATTTAGTTCACAGTCAATTGTCTCTAATTCAGAGCATGTCTGCCAACTGTCAAGAATTTCATTTTACTTGGATCCACAATCAACACTCATGGAGGCAGCAGTCAGGAAATCAAAAGATGTATTGCATTGGGCAAATTTGCTGCAAAAGACCTCTTTAAAGTGTTGAAAAGCAAAGATGTCACCTTGAAGACTAAGGTGTGCCTAACACAAGCCATGGTATTTTCAATCACATCATAAGCATGCGAAAGCTAGACAATGAATAAGGAAGACTGAAAGAACTGACGCCTTTGAATTGTGGTGCTGGCGAAAAACACTGAGTGTACCATGGACTGCCAAAAAAACAAACAAATCTGTCTTGGAAGAAGTACAACCAGAACACTCCTTAGAAGCAAGGATGGCAAGACTTGATCTTACGTACTTTGGATATGTTGTCAGGATGGATCAGTCCCTGGAGAGGGACATCATGCTTGCTAAAGCACAGGGTCAGCAAAAAAGAGGAAGACTCTCAACGAGACGGACTAACACAGTGGCTGCAACAGTGGGATAAAGCATAACGACGACTGTGGGCATGGTGTAGGACCGGGCAGCATTTCATTCTGCTGTACACAGGGTCACTATGAGTCAGAACCAACTCAACAGCACCTTACAACTGCCAACTGAAATGGAATATGCTTCAAATTTTTATAAAACACTGTTTCTCTGTACTTTCCTATCCTTCTCTGCAATAAATTTTTTTTATCCTAAAAGTAGGATATTAATTATCCCTATTATGGAGAACGGAGCAACTTACTGCCTGATAAGAGACTAACACAATTCAACATGTGAATCGTATGATTCCAATTCCACCCTTTAGTATCCTTCTGATGATTTAGCATGCTAGATAGCTTTCCAACTGAGAGAAAATGCACCGGTCAGGCCTATGTAAGTATCTAGTCTAAATGACCTTTAGCTATTTCATTATAAATGAATAACTTGGTCCTTGTGAGTTTAATTATCCTGAGTTTGTTTTTCCAAGTACAATGAACTCTACAGTGGTTTCTCAGCAAGTTAACAGCAGACTGGACACAGCAGAGGGAAGGCATAATAAACTCAAAGATATTTCAGTATAAATTTAAACTGATGCACAGAAAGAGAAAAACAAAAAATAAGAACACAGCATCAGACTTCTGGCACCATGGCGCTCTAGGCAGAAGCACCATGCTGTCACTCCATAGCAAAGATCTGAAAAACTAAGCCAAACAGAGAAAACAGGAATCCTGAAATCCTAAACATAAAATGAAGAGATAAAGAATTCAGCCAAGCACCAAATGGAATAAGAAACTGACAGCGAACAGAGAGCAAGGAGACATATACGGAGAGGTCCCCTATCAGCTAATGCATAACAGATCTGCCATCTTAGACTCCTATCACTGACCAGCAAATAGGGGGTTCGAGAAAGCAGCTTCACGGAGCTTCCAGCAGGAGACAGAACAACAGGTAAACCATAATATACGCTTTCCCACCCCCCAACCTTCTTCACCCCAACTCGGCCTCCTCTGCTTCCTGCGGCCACAGTCCCTTGGCCAGGAAGCACCGGCTGTTTGGACTCCACCTGCCCGTGCTGGCCGACTCCCTGACTGCCATTTGCTGGCTGCTGGTGTTGCTTTTTTCCACTTCTTTTGATTTCTTCCTAACGTCTCACCACCTCCCCCTCCTTTTGCTCAAATACCTGGCTCCATGCGCCATCTTTGCTTCTTCCTGAGGGGCTGTGGAGCTCCGTTCGAGTGTGGAACTGCTTCCCAGTCCGTGCTGCCACGCTGGTGGGATCCTGGGGCTTTTGTTTGTTTGTTTTCTTTTTCTTTTCTCGAGTTGGGAGCCCGTTCGAACTGGGTGGTGCTGTGCAGCTTGCGACCTACTCCCTCAGCGTGGACAGAGGGATCCCTGAGGGCATTTCTTTTTTTGTGGATTTTTTTCCCCCCGTTTTTTGGGGGGTTTTCTTGTTCTGTTTTTTTTTTTTTTTTTTCCTAATTTGTTTTGTTTTCTTTTCCCTCTTTTTCCCTTTTTGTCTTTCTTCATTAGTCAGTTTCTCATCTCTCTATACCTTCCTTCTCTTCCTGTCCCCTGGATACCTGGCGCTGAATACCTCTACACCTCCTAGCCAGGCTGTACTTCAACACCTTGGAACAACTTCCCCAAATCTTGTAGCCGCACCGGTGGGATCCCTGGGAGCTCTGCTGCTCTTTTTTCTTTTTAAACTTTATTTGTTCACTGTTTTTTCTCTTCTTCTTCCCCTTTTTTTTCTCCATTACATAGTCTCTCATCTCTCCACTCCAACGGCAAGCTCACCTAGCACTCTTTTTTGTTTGTTTGTACGTTTTTGGCTCCTGTTCCTCTCTCCTCTCTCCCATACCCATCTTAGCTCCACACATCACAATCTCCCCCCTCCATCCTGCCTACCGGCACCGTGCGCTTAACATCACACCACCAAGCAGCACAGGCACGCCCTACCGGAACCTGCCCTGCACTGACTACCAACCCGCCCTGGTAGCTGTAGTAAGTACCACAAACAACCCATCCAACAACTCCTCTTCAGCTAGACCTGCCCTGCTGTCCCATATCTGAGTGACTGACACTGCCAGTTGGAGAAGGAGGCGAAAAGTATCGTACCCACAGACAAGCAAACAACAAAGAACACACAGCCCGCCTGCTCAGACATACCCAAATTGAAAAAAAATAAAAGGACGAAACAATAAATCTACAATCAATAAACGAGAAAAATAACTACTGAATGCCCCAAAGACAGCAGACAATATCAAAACATTTACAAAAACAGGACAGAATGGTTCCAGTAGGCAAACA